AGTAACGAAGTTGGCGTCAATGTCTGTATCCCCAATGACCAATGAAGATGGCAACCAATCAGTGACCAAGGACGACCCAGACGTAAGAGGCCTCATCTCCCGACATCAGAGCTGTTGCGGGAGTCGGAGACAAGATGGCGTACCAGTCTCCGTGTCCCGTTCCGTTTCTAGAAGCAACAAATCGATGCGACTAGCTTCAACTGATATCGTGACCACCGACACTACCGCAGCGACGACCATTATTACCGTGAGGCGACTGCTGTAGGAACTTCAGCAATAGTTGCAACGCCAGCAATAATAGTAGCTAATACTAAGATCGCACTACTGGTCGGTTTGGCGGACAGCTGAACCCAAAATGGAAAGAGCTCAGTAGCTGTATTTCGCCACTTTGCGCACTGATCTGCTTTGTTCGGTGGTTCCTGTCCGACTGTCGCTGACTGGCCGCGGCGGTAGTGGGTCGCTACAGCAACGTTCAACGCTTGAGTTTGGTCGCTGGTTTAGCTGGAATTGTGCTTGTGGTTATCGTCGTTTTGTTGTTCATGTGGTTGTTTTGCGGGGGAGGAAGGGGGAGGGAAGGCACTTGAATTGACTTGCGTAGACTTTAAATGTTTCCAATTAATTTTTAACAGCTGTTGGTTCATCATACAGACGGAGGGCAGCTAGGTAAACAGGCGTTGGCCACAGAGCACCAACGTCAGCATCGGGGCATTGAAGTAAAATGCAACCAGAATTATTCGAAGAGCACACCACTGTTGTGTCACATACGCCTGTTTATCTGTTCAGTTGAGAAGCTCTGACGCAATGTAATGCCACACTTCGGCCCTCCGTCGGCTGTCTATCCAAAGCGGTATTCCTTGCTTGTCGGTGTCTTCGGCCGCAGACCACATTGTCGCCGGCATTTGCAGCGGCCGGATCGAACCCATCCGTAGAATTGCAGAACGAGACCACTCTTCCTAGCAGTTCTTGACAGCAATTTGCAACTCGCAACTGCTTGAACTCCTGAAGCTGTCGATATCGAATCTGCTGCTACCGCAGTGCTCCAATGATGACAGCGACTGGTAGCTGATATCCGCTGCAATCCAGAATCGGTTATCATTATGTCGTAGGACGACTCCAGCTGATCGCAGACTGCTCACGGCGACTGTGTTGCGGCCAGCCGTATTATAGTGATGGCGAACGCAGCCTGCGGGTCTACTCATCCATTACAGTCCACCTGCAGCAGTTTTTATCTCGCATGTGACTTTGTCACAGCGCACCAGACGACGCCGATGATGCACCCGATGCAGCAGTTGCTATGTACACGAACAGCCTAGTAATGTCGACTAAGCAGAACGGACTATGTAGTATGACCTATAGTGAGACCAGAAAGCGAATGAGTAGCCGGCGCTCGTTTATTTGTTATTGTTTGACATTCTGATATTTCTTCTCGTTGTACCGTATGTATGTCCACCTGTGTGGTTCGTGGCCATATTGTTGTTGTCATCATTGCGATCTAAGGAGGCGCCGAAGAGGCTTTTGAGACAGCTATCGCTGGCTCTGCGCCTGTTGTTGTGAGAAGAGTCGTTGTTTCCTGTTATTGTCTGCCGGTACAGACCCGATGCGAGGCGACGTTTACAGACAGGCGTAACATTGGAAACGGTAACGCGGCAATGGCGTCGGGCATCGTTTATGCTGTCGTCGCTACGTTGTTTGTTCTCTTCTGTTGCCTCCTACTTTTTTCTTCATGCAATTGTAGCGCGCAATACGCGAACCAGCCAAAGCAGCAGCAGTGGCAACAGCGTTAGTAAGGGACTGCAGCGGAACGCGCAGCGCAAATGATAATATAAAGGGATATCGCATTGGGGTGCTTTTGGAGCAGATATCGGGGTTGACTGGGCTGCCGTGATGGCTATGTTTGTCGTTAGCGTCGTAACAGTGACGCTGTGCTTTGCTACGCTGTTCTTAAATATTAAAACATGTGCCAAGTGGGGGGCGGTGTTGGAGCAGGTGCAAGCAACAACAGGAACAATAGAACAGCAACGACAACCCAATGAGCAAGAGAACTCTGTTTAAGATCAAAAAAGGGCGTTTTAGAGAAAGGCTCGAGATAGTGGTTGTTCACAGGGCACTGGGCCAGTTTCAAAACAAGAGCCTGATTATTAGCTATGATTATATTCGGCACACGTGTGGGTTTAGCATGATATCTAGTGCATTTGTAATCCATATATACGTGCCTGAGCAGAACCAGATTCTCGGAAGCTGCCAATGGAATGGTCTTATTTTTGTATACAGAGCAGGATAAATGAAAACGACTTTGATCCATAGGAATATTCTACGAAGACGGTAGTAGTCGAATGGGAATATTCTCAGAAACTAGGGAAAAACAGGCTGTAGAATGATTAACTTTTTAAAGAATTTAAGGATAGAGACCGAGTGCTTCATGCGAGTCTAAATTTCAAAAGGTGCACCATCTTTTTCTGAAGCAGACAAATAATTTTACCCATAACTCTTTACAACGAGCTTGATTTTTTTTCTATATATATACCCCATGATTTCGGATTTTTGGTTCCATTTGCGTCTTCATATGTGATTTATTATATAGAATAAAAATAAGATCGAGCTAGACAGATAGTTTGTTTTACGTCCAGTATTTATGCCGTCAGACATTGTTTCAGACGGCTGGCTCCTGTCAGCACAGAACGAACTGTATGTCTATGGCTTGACCGGGACCTAGACCATCACGAGTCCCTAAGTTGAATAGGTAAACATATTATTACTGCACCAGCACGGGTACCAAGCAAGGCGGTTAAATAGAACTATGAATATACTCTTTACTACAAGCCCAGATCCTTTTGAGCTGCATACGGGTGGTACGATTAGATTAAGAAAATCTAAAACTTGTAAGCCAACCTAGTCTTTTCCATACCACGACATTGGGTAGTAAGCTTACAAGCACAAGCCACGCGTTCATTATAGCTATAACGTTCGTTACAACTGCACAGTGACGTTAGCTTGATAGCGGAGAATTCCACCTGACCGGTTTAGTAGCGAAGGGAACCCACCACATCGCTTTTTTCATAATAACGCGAACTCAATAAGCAACACGTAAACCCCCGGAGCGACTTCTACTGCTTCTCTCCCTGACTCTTTTTTTCTCAATGCCTCTGCTTGACAGGAGGTTAGGTTCTATGAGTCCGATTCCTTTTATCAGTCGCCGCAGCACCGAAAAGGAAGAAAACAGCGACCACTTCGCCGCTTTTGGTGTTGCTCGTCATCGTAAAGTCCCCATATAGACGCGCCCCTTGATTGAACCAGCTCCGAACCTCTCCGTTCAGTAACATGCTTCTGAGCCAGCCTGCTCAACTTATATTGAACTTTTCTGTCAGAGAACAAGCTTCGAGATAACGCCGCTGGTCGGCGAACGGTACACAAGCGTTGTAGGGCCCCGGTTGACACTGGTCCAGTATTAATGCAGAGAAAGTATACCGATGGAGCATTGATGAGCACAACACGGTGCGTCTATCCCACTGTGCATCGCGGTCGTGTACTGTGCGCGAGGGGGAATAGCTATATAATAATCACGCTGTTTTTACTGCTATTTGTGCGGGTTGCGTCTCATTTAGCGTTTAGCTTCAATACTAAAAGGTACGGCCGCTGTTGCAGTCACCGCAGTTTTCGATGTTACCTATGGACGAGGCAACGAATTGGTGCACATCCTGTTTCCGATAACGTATTGAATAAACTTCTTGAGCTTTCAGACGATTCTTTACCGTTTGCTTGATAGAATAGAACAGTTTTGTACACAAAAGCTTGCCAATGACTCTATCGGGTCTATAATTGAAGGACTGAAACGGTTCTTTACCGGTTTATCGGAAACGGGTAATTCCGGTGCCTGGTTCAAGCGGTTTTCACCTCTTAGTGAACAATATTGAGTCATCACATACCGTTAATACCAATGCTGTTAAAAGGCACGGTTTATCTTGCCACTTCAGCAACAAAAAAATCCGTAGTTTCCGCTACAATCCGTAATTTTTTCCACTGTTCTCACCATTGAGGTGATTGCTTCTGTTTGAAACGAATATAAAATGTCTGTGTTGTGAAAAAACGAATAAATCTAATTGGCAGTTCTCGACGACTGAAAGGATCAATGAATCGTAGTAGAGGTTGTTTCGAAAGCATAAAAATTTCAAAGCAAAAGACACGTGGTTAAGGATAGTGATGCTTATTCTAGGAGTAGTTGACAGCCACAGAAATCACTAACGGACTTACAGATTAAACAATCATGTCGTAAACTAGTACGTGAAGTAGACAGCAATTGTTAGTTTTACAATTGGAAAAAATAGCTAATTATCCAGTTCTTCGAATTCACGTTTGTTTCCGTAACACAATAAGAAGACTAATTGTTCAAAAAAATAATATTATTACTAGCTGTTCAGAGGTCTCTCAATTTCCGGTGGACATTTTGAGTATATTAATGTAATCAACTGTAATTTGCTTGTAAATGCAACAACACCGTATTATTAGTAGTTGTAGTTCCACAATATAAGACTACAGTTAGGGATAATTTCTTAAATGTAGATGTATACACTTCGTCATTGCAAGTCATGTAAGCCAATCTATATATATATATATATATATATATATATATATATACAGGGTGAACAGGAATATCAACTCATGGTAATACTTGTATGTACAATGCGTTACAATTGTATCAACCAGCTGATTTTCAACACGAGACAAGTGCCTATTTAGGCTTTTAATCCAGGGTTCATATCTCTCGAACTATAATATGTAGCCACATTATTACAGCACCATTCCATATTCCACATCCCATACCACCATTCATAATTCCACATCCCATTCACACGTATGTATAAACGCCCTCAACGTTTTTCTATGCAATCTCATTTAATATCAACTGATCTTTTTTCCATTTATCATCAATAACCTTTACGCGTCTTCATTTGCTGTGTTGCTTCAACCATACTCTTGTTGCATCCCACCGTCGTTCATTTCAGGTGGCATGGTGGGCAGCACCTCAGGCGCTATCGTGGGGAGTAGTCACGCTGATGAGGCTCAACGGCAGCAGCAATTAGTGTCAGCGCGAGGCGCAAGCGGTTTGGCCGGTTATCCGACGACGTCAGGCCAGCTGGCGGCCGGCGGTCTCGTCGGTGGAACGATGCCTGGAGCTATGGGAGGTTCGTTAGGACTCGGCGTGGGACCTCTACCGGCCGTCGGTGTTTCATCGCTCGGATCTGGACCCTACCCGGGCCTTGTCGGACGACCAGCTCGCTGAGAATAGGCAAATGAACGTAGTATCAACAACAATTCTCCCGTCATACTAACTATTACTACTATAATAATCATCGATCGTTGAAACGTCGAATGCCGTGGATGAATAAAACGTAACCTGCATCGTCTTGGCTATTCGCCATCGGTTCGGAGCTTGTATCAATTGTCGATGATAATTCCAGAGGCAACAGGAGTCAAGTTAGATAGGGTTTGAAGTTAGGATCAGGTCGGCCGTGCTATGTGGCGTCGGGACCGTCTCAAAACATCGATGTCATCAAAAAATCTTGTAGATTCGAGGCCAAGCAATTATTTCCTCCTCCCAAGTCATCTTAAAGCAAAAACAAGGAAAGCAAACATAAGTGGTAGGAGATCGTATAGAAACAATATTAGCACTTTTTAAAAAAATCCGCCATGCCACAGCAAGTCAACACCGCGATATCCGCCGTTCGTTGGGATAAACAAGATGTGCGATAGACTGCAAGAGCATTGCAGATAGGTGAGATATATACCGCTAAAAGAAGCAGACGACAAGTTGACACGCGTCGATATAGCGGAGGTTGACAGAAATGTGTATGATACTGGGGATACATAGTTGAAGTGATAGGACGATCAAATTGTTTCCCAAATATAGGAAACTGGCAGGCAGGAAAAAGGTCGAGAGTTGACGACAACGGCTGCTGACGACTGGTACGGCCAAACGCGACAGGTTTAGTCGAACAGGTTTTAAGAGGTCGATGGACTAGACGCGTACGTCAAAAGAAATTGCATCAATAACAGAACTCGCTACTGAGCTTTGATGAACGAGAAATTGTTTAAAAATACTGATAACAAAAGAGAGCTATAAGAAAAATTGCAGGTGACAAAAAGAATCTGGGGTCAAAACACTCTTAGCTGAAGCAACATATAAGGGCAAATGTTTTGGGTTCTATGCTTGACATCGCCTTTAGACGCCATTCCATCAGACGGTCTAGACAATACGTGACGGAACCCGACCACGCATGCGCGCGATCGGTACGCCGCCATCAATGTGTATGATGATGATGTCGATGCGATAAAAATGTGGACTGTGAAAGACTGAACGATGCGACCATCACGACGGTGATATTCTTGATGAAAAATTATTGAAGCTAATGGAGGAAATGGAAACGGAAGTTGAATGACGACGACAACAATAACAAGGCCGATGACGATAATACATAGTTAGCTAGCTCTATATTTGTGTAAATTGATTTAACAATTAAATAATGAAATAATAATGAAATGAATGAAGTATGCTGATATGAATATGCTGATGGTTAAATGATAGTAGTGAGGATTATGATGATGACGACAATGGCGGGGTAAGAATGGAAGTGTAATAATATGAAATCGATTAAAACATTGGTGATTGATAGATTGATGACCATATGATAAAATGATATTCTGAAAAGAGCCACGAAAAAGGAGACGACAAAGAAAAAGAACGTTGACGATAGGTAAGTGGATATACGGCTCAATCATTATGGCTATTGTTATTAGAATAATACTGGTAAAAATGACAGGAGAAAAGGATGTGATCCGAAAAGAGGGCGTGCATGTTTATGGAAGATGCGGGGCGAAGAGTCGCGAGTGAAATCGAGGCAATGGTGTGAGATAGCATCATTATCTCTAATTAAACTCGACGTTAATTGTGCAACAGAGGGAAGATAACGGACCGAAATCTATTCTTTATTTACTACGTGAATTTATGAAGGCGATGGCTAAGTGGGAACAATGGGACGCAGGGAAGAAGCAGAACTCCGAACACGAATTAAACACTGTGGAAACGATGAACTGCCATTAAAAACAAAGACAGGTCACGGACAACTTTTGGAAGCATTATTATCACGCTTTAGTATAGTTCGGGTTTGAGGTGGACGTAAAAACGTCATGTGTATAATGGTACAGATGGTAGATATGATCAACAATGTTTGCGTGCCGATTTTGTCCGAGACCGAAAGAAAGAGACCACTGTAGTAAGCCAATATTAGAAGTGAGTCAAGTAGCGGTTAAAGAGTTCAAGGACAGGCGCAGATTAGCCTACGTCGATTAAGCCGTGGCCAATACTATTAACTGATGGTTCTGGGAAAACAAATTTAATATTGACAAAATCATGAGTTGTTAAGAAAAGGAGCGTATTATCTAAGCTGTTACCTATCGATCTACTTTAAAAGTTCTCATTTTATTGGTTCACTATTTAACTATTGGTTTACTCTATTCGGAGTTCCCCTTCCGCCCCCTGATTAGGAACACTGCTTTGTTTTCTTCGCTCACTTTGCCCCCGTCTCACAGTTGCTCTCAGGCTTGCTTTATTACCTCTTAATAGCCAATTTACTATTGCTGTTTGCCCTATGCATACTCTCTAATACGATTAACTTCTCGAGATGCCGTAATCCTTCACGATGGGGAACAGGTTGAGTGTCGTTGCCAGCTTGATCTCGTGCTACAGATAGATGGTCGTATATGATTGTAAAAGTCGCGCTCAGGCTGCAACATCGTCCCCAACTGGTTCTCACGTATTTATTGTCGATTCTCGAGCCGTTTACAAATCTAGGAAAATTTGAAATTGCGAAATTTAGGAGACTCCGATGGCAAAATCTTGATTCTGTTTGGGACGCCAGACGAATGCAATGATTTATGCTTGCCCCTAATGGATTTCGTCGAAGCACGCGTGCCACGTTGTTAATAGCGTTCTCACACCGGTCGCGGGCGGAAAGGGCAGACATGAGCAGACGACAGCGCGAAACGGCAAAAGCGAATTTTGTCAAAAAGAAGAGCGAAATAAAAAGTATCACAGACGGTATTGGCGAATAGACCACGAACGTATGTGCCAGTAAAATCTGTGATTAATCGGAAGGAAAACTGGTCTTAAAGGGAACGCTTCACATGCCGTTGTACATTTAGTAGGTTGATTGATATATATATATATATAAAATAATTCAGATGAAGACCTCGTGATAACGATGATCATGGACACGAATATATACATATA